CCGGACCAGGGATGCCCAAAAACTTGCTTATTGAACAGAAAACACCAAAACACATGTGCCAGAGTGTTGCTATTAGTGGCAAAAAGCAACGGAAGGCAAAAGAGCCACATGCTCTTAGGGGGAGCGAGCTCCTTTTGAATGGTAGTGCTAGGAGTGTTGGTAGTTTTAGGAGTTAAGAGTGCTAGGATGCACAATCGTATACCTAGAGCAATTACAAGAGCAAGGGAGAAATGAAATGAGACTAGGCAACCCTAAACTAGACCATTCAATCGGTTCAACATCCTGTGTTGCAAAGGCAACGTGAATGGACATGGCATCCCTGGAAACCCTAGAGCACCGACTCGCCTCCTTTGATGTCCTTGTTCTCTCATGCGCTTTGACGCTTCCTGCAGTTTTAATTTATTTTCACCCAAACAAAGTTTGATTGTATCAGGTGCCTTAGCCTTAGCTGGCTCATTGTTTTCAGCTCCTGTGAAGTATAATTATACCCTTGCAGCGGGTGTTTACAATTGTTGTTTGATCAGGAAACACCTCTAAAAGTTTTCTTCAGAGTTATCAAAGTTCGGAAAGCAGAACACCTATGAAGACATCTTCTACCTAAGAATCTTAATAAATATATTGAAGATCGAAACATTTTTAAATAACTCCTTTTTTTCTCTTGTTTTTTTGTATTTTATTTTTTTCTTTTTTTTCCTTTTTTCTTTTTTTTTCTTTTTTTTTCTTTTTTTTCCTTTTTTCTTTTTTTTTTTTTTTTTTTCCTTTTTTCTTTTCTTCTGTTTTTTTTTTTTAACGCAACGCTTTTAAGTACTAAAAATACCTACTAATCAGTGAACTATCCACAAACTTCACAACTTCATCATATTGCGCCTGATGACTATTTATAAAATATATACATTTACAGGGTATCCCATTGTCGGTTAACTCAACTCTACCTTTTCCTCACTTGTTTTTATTTTCAATTGTTGCCCTGTGTTCCGTTCCGGGTGTCCTGCTCTTTTTGCCACTTGCCACACACTTGACTGAGCATCCCCGTCGCGTTTTTATCGAATTTTAAATTTATTTTATGGCATTTTTCGATTAAAACTTGCCAGGACGACACAACACAGCGCGTAAGACGACGACATTTCACGACTAAGCTCCTATTATGCCCTTAAACATAATCAACAATGGCGTTGAAGTCAGAGCTTTGTATATATTTTTTTTATGTTATCACATCCTTAAAGAGGATATTGTTCAGTGAAAGTTCTTGGGCCCATAAAGGTGATGAGTGATTTTCGGTATCATAATATAACTCATCATTTTGGAGCACACACACATGTAACAATTGTTGATTGACTTGATCCAGTGACTTTTAACCTGGTAAGTAAACAGATATTGTGATTTATTCCTTTTAAATAAGCCTTCAAAAGCCCTGACATAATAGAGTTAGTGTCATGGAAGCCTCAATTATGTTATTTCCAACTGAGATGCACCACTTCCACTCCCCCCCTCCAAAAAAACCCATCTGTACCGTACCATCTTCATCTGCCAAACTCTCTGAAGTCCCTGCGGAAAATGTTATCTTTCCTTTTGGCTGCGAGGGTTTCGGGGGTTCAGAGGAGGTTCGATTTATAATGCTGCTCAGCATGAAAGGGGCGAGCAGCGGAATTGGGCTCTCGGATGCAATTGTAATGGACAAATTCAGTTGGTTTAGGTTTACGTGCACGACAAGCTGCTAGACAAACCCACTAAAATTTAGCCCGAACGCAAGTCACTTTCCAGGGCACATGCAGTCAAGTGATGTGTGTGTGTGTGTATGTAGCTTTGTTTGCCATCCTTTGAGTGGTTGAGAGGAGTCCTTTTCGAGCTCAGCTAGAAGTAGTAGTGGTAGTGGTAGTAGTCCCCGAGCTCTGCTGCTGCTGCTGGTGTGCAATACTTGAAATGCAACAAAATTTATGTGCATATGCATATGGCATATGGCATATTGTAGGCAGGAAGCCCAACGAAGAACGTAGCCTTTGTCTGGCCATGCCCCTTTCTTCCGCCTTCCGCCTTCCGGTGGGGAGCCCACTTCCCTCTGAGCCCTCCTTCTTCTAGCCTGATATAACCACCGCATATTCTCGACTTGGGCTGCCAACAAACTTAACAAATGAGCGCTTGAGAGTCCTGCCAAAATGGGAAAAGCTGAAAGTTGAGCGCCGCTAAGCTGGCGCCAAAAGTTTCCAGTTTCCAGTTACTCCGCTTCTATATTTCTATGGTTCTGGGTTCTATATGTTTCTCCAGTTCTCCATTTCTCCGTTTCTCAATTTCTACGGTGCAGAACAAATGTTGGAAACAACTTGGTGCAAACTTAGGCCAGCAGTAGTCAAGGAAGCACCCAGTTTGAATAGAGGAGCAGCAGCAGCAGAGAAGCAGTTTGTAAAAGTTCACTAGCACTACTCCACTTCTACTCAGTACTCGGTACTCGGTACTCGGTGTACTTGGTACTCAGTGTGGCCAGGGCAAACAAAGTGACTGCAGTTTGTTGTCCTCGTCAGGGATGAAAGTTTTTGAAGGCATTCGCGAGGGCTGATGTATTGTGTGAATCATAGAATACTTATAAAAGCATCGCGAAAGTTTTTAGCCCACTTCCATCCGCGGATAAGGAGGGGAAAAACCCCTATTAATAATCGTCAATCATGGAGTAAGAGTAGGGATAACGATATCAGGTAGCTGGGATTATTATTTAATAAGCGCAACATTTTTTAGAATTTTCCTAATGAATGGTTTTTTGACTTTCGGGTTCAGATTTGTTCAGATCAAGATTTAACAAATCTTAGGAAAATATTGGATTTATTGCACTCACAAATTATAAGGTTTAGGTGCTTTTTTGGGGGAAATAAGTTTACCACCAACTCGGGATTTAATTTGGTTAGCAGATGAGCGGTTACAACGTCGGAAAAGTTGGAGATGATATTTACGTTTGTGTGAAAAGGTGTGTGAGCTTCTTTATAAAGCACATCGGGGGTTAGACACTCACACTCATCTACTCGCACTCAGACAATGCAGTATAAGTACCTGGCTACACATAATATGCGACAGATATACATACATATATATGTACACGCAAAAAAAAGCGTATATTATTATAAGAAAATAATCTATACGTTGATTTACTATATCATTTTAGAACAGATTCCAGAGAGAAATATAAATTTATTCCGGATCTACACTTGAGTTTTTAAAAACTTATTTTGAATACTTTTTCAACCCTCTACCTAAAACTTTTCCTTCAATTTCCCAGAGCCTGCAATATGAAATACATTATTTTTTGATATAATTCACTCATCAAATAAAATGCATGCAAATATCTATTTGACTTGCGAATATTAAATTGATATCAAGGTGTTCTTTCTTTTTTTTTTGCATTTTTATCCGTGTACCTATGTCTGCACCAGCACATGCATATGCATCACAGTGCCTGCAAAAAGTATGCAAATAGAACACAATTTGCATGCAAAGTGCCATCAAGAGAGCGACAGAGTGCGAGCGTGTGAGTGAGCGAGTAGGCGAGAAAGAGAGAGAGAGCGCGCAAAAGTGGAGTGAATCTTATTAGCCACGCCAAGAAAAAAAAAAAAAAAAAAAAGGGCCAAGGAGGACGAAGGAGGTAGTACGATGTACGATACCGGTGTTCATAACGTTGAATTCAAGTCGCAATTGAAGACCTTTCCGACCTCTCAATGTTGTAACCTTTTTTTCACACATTTCCCAGAATATTCGTGTAGTACTCGTGAAAAATAAACATATATTTAGCAGTAAATGTGAAAGACATATGCATTCAAACGGTTCATGGGGCTATATAGCAACTTGTTTCTAGTTCAGGTAGTTCAACTGAAGGACCTCTCATAACACACCATCTATTACTATAAAGGTGTCACTATTTTTATCTGCATGTTCACTGTTTAGGGAAAACGATTTGACATAAAATTCCATAACCAAAAAGATATTGGAGAGATAAAGAGATTGGAGATATTCGACTAATATCATAATATTTTGAAAAATCTGAAGATTCCTGGGTTCTAAAATACTATGTGTATCTTGAATTACAAAACAAGGCACCTTCTTTCAGAAAACACAAATTTTCTCAAAAGTTTTCCTTTCAGTTTTCAGTCCACTTAGTTGGCTATTTGTATACTTCATTTGCGGTTCTTTTTTTTTTTGTGTTATGGATGCAAGAATGACCTCGGTACAAATTGTTCCTGGTGTTTTCGTTTTTGTTTTTGGCCTGCTTTCTGCTTTTGCTTTCTTGTATTGCATGTTTTGATTTCTTACACATTTTCGCCATTAAAATGCAGAGCATTTTCTTTAAAAGAAAATGAATTTTTACCGGAATTTCGCTCGACTCTTTTCTTTAACTCTCTGGCAAGCGGAACACAACAACGCGACAAAACACTGCCATATTTTTTTTCTTTATTTTTTTCACATTTTTTATTTATTTTGTGTGTGTGTGTGTGGGCGGAAGTTCGCGTGCCTTTGTGGGTGTGAGTGTGAGTGTGAGGGTGTGTGCAAAAGTTTTACGAGCAAACCGAACTGACATGTTAATTATTTTCCGTGGAACTCCAAAGACGAATAATACGCTTGCAATGTGTACAAAAGAGAGAGGGATAGAGTGAGAGAAAGAGAGGAAAAGAGGGGGGAATGTGGCGTAGGAAGTGGGCGGTAATGAGTTAAAAAAAATTGCTGCCAATGTGGGGCACTTGCCGCCACTGAAACTGAAAAAAGGGGTAGTAGTAGTGGTAGTAGTAGGAAGAAAGTGCAGAATGCCATAGAAAATTGGCCCAGAAACATTAATCAAATCGACTGAGTAAAGTGGCATCTAACGATCCGCAAAAGTTTTATAACTTTGTTCTTTCTGAAGATAATTGCATTTGATTGTGGCTGCTTTATGAGATTTCAGCACGACACTTTTAATTTCATCAAATGAGAATTGACGCTTTTAAGTTTTCAAAAAAAATAATGACCCTTAAACTTGGATAACTTACCCATTTAACAAGAACCTGGTAATCTGCAAAGATAAAGAGGACAAAATATAATTAGTTAGGTTCATTGTGTTAAGATATATAATACTTTTGTAAATAAAAATTCCCCTTAAGCGACGAGCAGAGAAAATCTATATCTATATCTGTTTATAAGTCCGCCGCACCCTAGGGAGTGTAAAAAACTTATGGATTGGGCCATACAAAATCTAAATATAAACTAGGGCAAAGGTTGGGGCGAAATCGAAACTTCTTAAAAAGTGTTTCTTCAGTTTGAAGTTTCATTGTGTAAATGGATCATTTCTATTTTATATAAATCTCATCTAAATCGAATCTATAAACGTCTACCGCAATAAAGGGAAGTAGCCAAAATCACACAGAACGGATTGGCATAAGGATCTAAAAAAAATATATAAATTCGGAAATAATATAATAAAATAAATATTACCAATTCCTTTTCATTATATGAAAATCTGGATAAATCGGCTTAATGTCGTTGCTTTTAACTATATGCACGCATTATGAGTTATATGTCGTTTCAAACGGGAATTTAGCAATAAGTTGGTTGCGGTTACAACCCCCAGAGATTATTTGTAGCCCAGAGCAGGGAATGGATTCGGATTCGGTACCTGAATCTCTCTCTCCTTCTCCAACCAACAAACCAACGAATTATTGGGCGGGCGGGGGATTGGGGCGATGTCAATCCAACTACATAGCGAAATCCATAAAGATTTGGTTCGCCCATTGCCTCTCGGGCTTCAACTGGAATATATAGGAATATAGGTGCAAAAATGATTGGGCGGAGGTGAAAGCGTGGAAATTCGGGGCGTGGATGCTGCAGAATCAAACAATAAATCTCTTTTTCCCAGCGACGTTACACACACTAAGCTCATTTAGATTTATGTACCCAAAACTGTTTTGGGGAAATCCATTTGTGTGCTGCAAACTTTTCTGCTTACGCATTTTCCTGCCGCCTTCACTTTACCACTCTTTTTTTTTTCGTTTTTTTGGCGTTTGTGTTTTTGGTACACATCGAGTACCAGATACTAGAATTGCCCACGCAGAAAATTCTGTCGGCACGCCCCCCATTTTCCCTCTCCTACGGTCTTCCTTTTTCTTTTCAAAAATCGCGAAAAATCTGTAGAGAAATACGCTTCTGAGCGGACCAAGTTTGTATTGTCAATATCAATACAACTTTCCTAGAAAATTACCATAAATGTTTGATTTGAATAAAAGTTGCGCAAATGTATTTTAGCAATGCAACATAATTTGTATCGAGAGACAGTCAAGGTTGCCCGTATTTTATTATTTTGAGAACCTGGATCCGTCGTAACCGTTGGCACATAAAAACAGACGACTGCAAAAGTTTTATATTGCCATTTAAAAATTTAAAGTAAATCGCTTAAAGGCTTACACAGCAGCAAAGGTATACAAATAAATTAATACTGATTTGTATACATACTTTTGCATTACTTTGGAATTGCTCTTTTTTTTAAATATATAAATTATATGTTCAAGTTCCCCAATGCTTTCAATCGAAAGATTTTTCAAATCGGACTTTTCTTTAAAAAGTTATGAGCAAATAACGGAATAGCCACTTTGCAAGCAGTGCAAGCAGTTATTTTGGTGCTAGCACATATATATTTTTCGTTTTTCGCTTTGCTTATAAAGTATTTAGTAGGCAGACAAGGACAATCGTTTGCTGAGCAAATTCGATTGCATATTAATGGTTGGATTTAGACGAGTGAACAAAGCGGCTAAAGTTCCGCGATGTAGTTTTCTAGCTGACGGCACAACAGTTGCAACTTGCAATCTCCGCACAGGAAGCACGCTTCTTGTCCACGCAGCAAAGTCAACGTCAGTGGATGTGCACTCAACCAGGACACCTGTCTCCAGTTCCCCAGTTTCCCAGTTCTCCGCCCTTCTGCCACATGGATAAATGCTGCATGCAGTCTATATAAGCACACAAGTGCACAAGGAATCGGGGAATCAGTGAATCAGGGAATAGAAACCCAGAGATTCACTCGATTTAATTCAGTTTGTTTACCTCGAGATAGGGGGACTTTCTGGTGAACAAGTCACAACAAGAGGGAATTTCGATTTTCATTTCCGATATTAGGATGTACACACAACAACTAAATAAGACCAACAGGAGAATATATTTGCAAATTATTCCAAAGTTGAAAGTGACATGCTGAAATATGTTGGTATTACTTTTCAACCATTTTCAGATCCCCAACAAAACAATGGGGATACCCAAATATATACAAGTTGAAAAGCACAAAACGACGGGGACAGTAATGCGAATCGACATTTGACTTGCGAAACCTTTATGTCACTCTGTGCTCACCAGCTCACCAAATGGGCGTATCTGTTGAATGCCCAATGCGATGTCAGAACCAATTTGACTCTTTTGTATCGCGCCCAGATCTTTTAATACCCACTACTCGTCGAACTGAAGGGTACATTGTATTTGTCGGAAAGTATGTAACGGTAGAGATCCCTAATACATATCTAAATACAAAAACATTTTTCAAATCGGACTAGTCACTAGAAAGTTATGAACAAATAACGCAACAACCACTTTGTAAGCAGTGCAAGCAGTCCAAGCAGTGCTTGCATATCTCGCACTCACTCTGGCTGAGGGTAACAGGTATCTGATAGTCGACTAAAATATTTAATACTATACCGTTCTCCCTTGTTTCTTTTGGGTGGCTCATGCAGTAGTCAAGTCAATAAAGAAATACTTTTCAAAAGTCAACCAAGCCACCGCCTCTTTCTTTATGACTCTAGAGATTTCGATTTGGGTATAAATGAAGCATTTTGGCTTGGCTTTTGGTCGGTGGTTCGCGCTGTTATGCCACATCCGCTCCCTAATCTGTCCCCAAAATACATACTAAAATACTGGCGCGGGACGGGACAATCAGTTTGTAACATTTCTAGGCTTATCGGTTCAACCCGAAAGGACTACTGGCTACTAGCTAACAAAAAAAAAAGGAGAGGAGAGGAGAGGAGACGACATGAGCCCAGGGGACCATGGAGGTGGATTGCTGGATTGTAGATGTGAACGGTCAAGACCACGCGCGGCCTGGGCAACCGTTTTTCAATGGCTTTTGAGGCTTTTGTTATTTTGTCGGGGCCCCCAAAAGCCCACTTTTTTTTTTTTTTTTTGTTTTTTGGCCCCATCTGTGCTGGATTTGTCAGGCCTGCGATGGGAAGAGACGAGAGATGGAGGCGAAGAGGCAAAGAAAGAGCGCTTTTGCTCCCGTGTCAGGATTCTGTACAAGGACGAGCCGGCACCCCTTCGTTGTACTTTTTAATCGCCGTTTCGGAATTTAATAATTTTAGGTCGCTGGCCGCAGGGCCTGGGGCTTGGGCCTGGCCCTTGGGGTCAGGGGGTCAGTCAGTCAGGTCACTACTGTGGGCTTTTCGGCCCTTGTCGAAACACATTTTCCCCATTTATTTCTCTCTTAACCATTTTTACACCTGTTTGCCATTTGTTTCAGGGCGAGTAAGTGGCAAAAGATGATCTGGCTGGCTGCTCGGCTCGTGTTCGTGTTCTTGTTTTCCAGCTTGACCTGTTGGCCTTCATTTTTGTTTTGTTTTTCTGTTTTATTTTTTTATAGTCCCGTGCTCCCAATTTTCCTATGAATGAGGACCCGGACCCATGCCGTTGCTTTTCATTTATTTTTGTTGCGCATAAATTCATTATTGCTTACTTGGACGTGGTGAAACAAAAAAAATTGTAAAATGTTGAAACAAGGAGTTTATGCTCCTATTTTTGTGCCAAATGAATTTCAATAAAGACGCTTTAAAGTGCTTTAATTGTACAATTTTCCGCTGATTGAGGATTGGTAATTTTCTCAAAATAATTATTATTTATATTTATATTAGTAGTACCTATCCTATTATAAAAAATCTTGAATACTTGTTAAAATCTTTTTATTTTTATTATTATGGATTTTATTATTGATGATTGAGGATTAGGTCTTTTCTCAAAATAATTATTATTTATATTAATACCTATCCCTTTATAAGAAAAATAAATTTATAACAGTAAAACTAAAATTTAAAAAAAATTTCTTAGTTCCTATATTTATTTCTTGTATTTTATTTTAGTAACAGAAATACTATGTTGTCATCACTACCATAGCAAGAAAAATCTGAAGAAAAGAAGAACATCTCTATACCACAAATGGGATAGAGATTCCTAGGGCGCCGTGGGGCATGTACTGTTCCCTGTTACTGTGTGTGTTAGTTCTACTTTTGCATTTACACACACGTGATGCACACAGAGTCATTAAGATAAGTTAGTCTCTTGGACAATGAGAGCGGCACGTGCGTGACAAGTAAATTAACAACCAATCCCAGTCCCAACGTCCGCCCCTTTGGGCCACAATTATCTGTCAAGCGAGCATAAAAATAATATATAAATGCTCAATTACACCAACGCGTTTTCCAATATCTGGGCCCCCCTCTTTCCCACACACACGTGCCCCAGCCAGCCACACAGGCATCAGAAAAATAAATTATGAACTTAATATCGCGCCAAACAATTTATCATGAGCTCTAGTTCAAATTTCCCGATTGAGCGCGATAAGCGAAATGAAAGCGAAAATGAAAACGGAAACACGCAAGGATTATTATGTGATCTTTTTGTGAATAAATTGAAAACTAAGTTTAATTTTATATCTTAAAGAAGTCTCTATATTTCACACTTATATTTAAAAAATATTTAAAGAAGAAACTAATCAATTCATAAATATATTTTCTACATAAAATGATAAAATATCCTTAATTGCAGAGAAAATCCCCTCACTTAATTAGCAATTTAAACTTGTTATTGGAATTAATCAGCTGAAACTTACCAGGTTTCCCTTCAAAAACAAGTTCCAAGAGTGCCGGCGGAACTATCCTTCGTCCTTGGTCCTTTTTCAGTTTCAGTTTTTTTTCTTTTTCGTTGCTTCACGTGTCTCGGTTGTTTTTATGCTTGTTTTCAATGTTTATGCTCGAAGGCTCGAAGGACCATGACGATTGGCTGCTGCTGCTGACGACGACGACAACCTGCAAGATCAGAGTATTGAGAACGGGGTAAGCTCACAGTGTATTTCATTATGTAGATAAGTAGTTTTATTTAATTTTAATTAGCACTTTAACGGTTGAACGTGTGTGTCACTGAGCACAAAGGAAGGCCTTGAAATGGAAAGCTCACTTTACGATGATGGCATGGCAATGATGGTGTAGTAATGTGTTGGCGGCGATCAACTGTTAGCGGTTGCCTATTAGGCACCTAATCGACCATGTTATCCCGTATCCCATATATCCCACGTATCCCATATCCCATATGCCCATCCAATCCGTAAGCGAATGCACGTGAGGAGGCGATGGCGATGGCGATGCTGATTGACAGGCGCAGCCAATTAAGTGGTGCTACCGGGAAACCGGGGATACACCCATGAAACCGAGGACTTGGGCTCCATGTTGATTAGGGGAGGGGGGAGATGGTATCCTAACCCCACTATAGACACAAACCCCTCTACCAACCTGATGTATTCCAGTTCTAGTGATTCCGGTTGCCCAACAACGGGTGAGTGTGTGTGTGTTTGCGAGTGTTTCTGCTGCTGGACTGACGATGGATTTATTTCAGCGCACAAAAATGGCAAACACAGGAAACATGCGAGTGGAAGGAAGGACGATTACGAGGGTGCAGCAGCAGCAGCGGCAACAGCAGCTGCAGCTGCGATTGCGAATGCAGCAAAAGCAAAAGCAACAGCCACTGCATTGTCACGACAACGACAGCTGTCCTGGCAACAGGAATAGGAATAGAAATAGTAATACCTATAGCGATAGCGATAGAAACAGCACAAGAGGTCGGCGATTGCGGCAAGAGCGGATGAAATCGCCATAACCAACCCCCATCTTTTGCCATCCCACCCTCCTCTATCCTAAAGTACTCGATTCGCCTCCTCCGATATGATATTAATTCAATAGAACTTGGTTATCGAATAAATATTCCGTTCTTTCGTTTATCGATTTGAAAATGGTTATGTAACGAATGCATAAAAGATCAGAAACGATCAAATTCAATAGACTAAGTATAGGGAATTCTAAAATATATATGCTCTTAATAATGTTAATAATAAATATAAATTTTACTTCAAAGAAAGTAAAATCAATGAAATACAATTTCCAAAATCAATTTAGTGGTAAAAATAATATATTTATATAAATATCATTAAGGGGTTATATACCTTTTTTTTTTTTCAAAAAAACGAATTTTTTTTTTTTGCTGAATCTTAAAGTATATCCCCTAGAGAACATCTTCCCAAATTTTCATACAGATCCGAATAATAGTTCGATAGGAAAACAGCGTTTTGACGCGCTCGACTTCAATAGTTGCAACGTCAACGTAAAACTTTGAATGCGATTATCTCAAAGTCGTGTTTTTCCAAAAGTGCTTTCGCTGTGACCACGATTGCGCAAGAACTATTCGATCGATCGATCTTCTTCAATTTTTTTTTAAATTATTCGTAATGATTGTGCCGAGTTCGTGAACGATTCAGTTTTTATGCGCCAATTTAAATTTCGCAGATCAGAATTTTTTAATAAAATTTTTAGAACTCGAAAAATCAACTTTTTGGAAAAATTGTTACTGTATGCAGAAAAAAGCAAATATTCTTAAAAATAATCGTTCACGAACTGGATATAATACTATACTAACTAAAAATTTTTGGTTTTTTGATATAAGTTGACCTGCTGGACTTCCATCGTGGTCACCGCAAGCCGCTATAAAAAAAAAAGGGTTCCGAAAGAATTGCCATAACTTCGTAAATTATTCATATTTTTTCAAGAACAAAGGTTTGTTGTTTCGATAAAAACATGTACTATCAATAAATAATAACTTCACTGTCATAAAATAATTGCTACACACCAAAAAAAAATCCAAAGTTCCCTCAATTTTTTCGCTCAAAAAAGGTATATAACCCCTTAAGCCAGTGAATATATATAATTTCCAATCATAATTTTGAATTATTTAATGGAAATATAAGATTATTTTATTATTATTTTTACTGCTTAAATAAAAATCCCATATTAATTTTACATTGTTTAAAGAAAAAGTATAAGATTATTATAAAAAAATAGAAATTTGATCTTAATTTTATTTTCACCGTTTGCCACTGGACAAGTAAATTGCACAAAACCCAGAACACAAAAGTGAAGAGCACAAATCGAAATCAAAAGGAATAAATCCTGGAGTCAGGATTCCAGAATCCCACAAAGATCCCCGCGCTGCCTTTATAAATTTATTCACCAACTCCTCCTAACTCCTGTATAGATGTTGCTTATGTTGTTTACTTCGCCTTAAAACCATCATATTTGCGGGCTCCAATCTCGGGCCAGAGATTGCTCCATCTGTGTGCTGAACTGTGGTTGCGTTTGGGATGAAGCGAGGAGATGAAGCCAGGCCACCACACAATTTGCAAACCGCGTTAAAGTGCCTGCTGCCAAGAGTCAAAGAATCATCAGCTGCTGCTGCTGTTGGTATCTCTATCTCTGGCATGGCGAAGAACTTCATCCCGAGGACGAAAAGGACGACGACTTGAGTGGTGTCTCTCACCTTTCCGAGATTTCCAGTTTTTGGGGTGGCGTATTAAAGCTATGTACACGGTGCGATGCGTTGAAAACTGCAGCGAAAATTTGCATAAGCAATTACGGGCGCTTTTTGTGCGATGAAGGGGAAGGTGAAGAAGGTTGAGACACCGAGTTGTGGATGGTTAGCACAAATATTTTCTCCTTCGTCTATTTTGCCGCCAGGTCGCTTGACAGCCAGCCAGTTGGGAATGGGAAATGGGGAATGGGGATGTAGAATTCAGGATGGAATTGGCTGGGGTGCCCAAGGTTCGCGTTTGCCATCGAAGCAACGACATCATCATCATCATTATCATCCTCAGAGAGACGTCGTCGCCAAGTGGCTGCCGCGAAATGTGTAATGCATCAAAACAAAAATAACAAGTGTCGGGAAAAAATGCAACATTGCACTTAAGCACAAGGTGTGCCAAAAAAAAAAAAAAAAATAGGAAAAAAAGGAAGGAAATAAGGTGAGGTTTACGCGACGACGATGAGGCCATGGGCAAAGGGAATGAGTGATTCCAAGTAGCCCTTAATAAGGATCCTTGTAGGAATAAAATATGATCAAAGAACTTTCATAACGAGATGGCATTCGGTTGCCTTATTAAACGCCTTATTAAACTCATATTTATGATATATTATGTTGGCCAGAAATTATGAAGAGACAATTTATCTAATCCAAATTGTCCTTATAATATTCTAAAACAAAAATTGATATTTACATTTTGATCTCTTTAAAACCTGGATCTATATTTGAATTTATTATTTTATTGCTCCGTTGATTCTGCTTATAAAATATAAAAAAAACATATTAAAAACTGTTAAATATTAAAATACTTTAAGCACTGAGTTAGAGTTCTGAAATAAAGTATAAAGTTCTGAGTTCTAAAAATAAGTATTTGAAATTGCAATGTTTGTGCAGGGGGTGGGGGAAAAACACGGGGAGATGCGCTACATAAAATTCGTATAATAAACTGCAACTCGTCGGCGGAAAAAGGGGGGAGAAATAGAAATGCTGTAGGGCTTCTTCGCCGACTGAACTTTTGAGGAAATCGGCTCACAGTTTGAGAGCTGTGCAAATTTCCCGGCAGCTAACAAAATTTATTTTTGTGCGCCCATTTCGGGGGAGAGAGTTGTGCAGCGTCAGCAGCAGCAGCAGAAAAAGCAGCAGCAGGCAATTAAAGTTGCAACTTAAAGCCACCATTTGCCACTTGAACAAGCTGTTTGGTAAACAGAAAATAAGTGGCCAATTTGTTTGCTGCAATACCCTCAAAGGTAGTGAAATTGTGCAGGTCTGCTTGATTTATGACCAGCAGCATTCGATTGAAGGATGCGGTGCTTCTGGCCGGCGTTATCTCAATCAATCAATTTTGCATTATAATAGGTAGGCTTCGCATGCACCACTCGTCCAGCCTGTCAGAAAGTGTAAAAGCGTGTAAAATAAAGTAAATTGGATAAGAATAAATAAGTATTTTTGGAAAATACTTGTATTTTTTTTATAATAAAATTTAAAATAAATTTAAATCATAACACATATAGATATTTAATAAAACAAAAAAAAATAAATAAATAAAAAATAATAATAATAATAATAGTAATTAAGAAACTATAATGTTAATATTTAATAAATAATTTAAAAACTCAAACATTTTTACTAATAGTTTAAAAATAGATATAATAAAAAATTGCTTATATATTCGACTAGATCATTTCGACCAGACATATCGACCTCTTTTAAATTTCAGTTGGAGGTTCAGTAAAACCATTTTCTAGTTCCGTTCTCGTTCTACGGAAGTCTCGTGCATTAGCCACTTTATAATATCTGCATTATTCCCGTTCGTTGGCTTTGGCTTTGGCCAAAGCGAACCACCCCGATGATTTAGCTTGCCTCAAAACCAAAAGCCAAATACCAAATACCAAAAACCATAACCAAGGCCCCTTCAGATCCTGTCCAGACCGCTAACGGGTTCGTTAGACGTCGTCGTCGTCGGCGGCCACTACTGCAATCAGTTAAACAATGTTGCATATTAACGCGTAACCCAGCGAGAAATGGCGCCCAACCCCGAAAACCCCACAAACAGTGAACTTCCACTTCACATTTCACATCTGCCAGACTGGAGAAGTGGATGTGGAAGTGGGAATGGAAGTGGATGTGGATGTGGAGGAGCGGAGCGGAGTGGAGTGGTCGACGCGGACCGCAATATCTTTGCATAAATAAAACATAAATTACCGACAGGCGGTGTTGGTCGGTCGTTCGGTCTGTTGGACGATGGTTGGTTGGTCTTTGGAACAGGGAAAGGCATCTGGTCGGTCCTACGGGGTATGGATGGGTGTATGCACAGAAAACAACTGCGATATGAAATAGGGTCAATTCTACCTTAATTCATGTCAACTCGATATTTTATCATTTCATATAAAATACCAAATTTAGTATT